GAATGCAAAAGGTTGCACGTTCGTGCATGCCTAGATTTGGCTGCTAAAGACAATGAAAAAGAAGAGATGAGGTGGAAATTAAAAATAATGTTTTATTCTTTTTATTGACATATCATTAACTTGATGTTCAAAATAGAATAGTTGATTGCTACGAAGTATTTTATAATGAAATTGGGTGATGGGTGTCCAGTAGTAAGGCGCAGATGTAAAGTTAATGACCATGAATACCATATAAATATTTAGGAAACGGGTTAATATATTTGTATGGCCTGAACTTTTCACATAATAAACATCATGGCATATCTTTTCGATCTATAACATCATGACCTGAACTATATACCAAAGTAACGAAATTGGCCAAACCCGAAAATTGACCGTTATCTTTGACGGTCAAACGCGTTGAATAACGGTCAACGCGCTACGTCACCGTCAAGTCAGTACCTTTCACGTAAAAAAATTTATATTTTCCACTGATTATTTTTCTCATTTTGAATAAAAAATGGCACCGCAGTGCTGCCGGCGGCGTTGCCGACATATAGAAAAAAGATTTTCAGAGAACGAATTCTAGAGAGCGAACAGGAGAGAGAACGCTGCTTTGTCCGCACTTTTTAGCTTAGCCAAAATGGGAGTAAATTCGATGAATAATTTATGAATGTATAATCATGCATAATCTTATACTATTATTTATGAAAGGTTTTTAACTTTCTCCCAATAAAAATTGACAAGATATATCTCTTTCATTTTTATTCAAAATTAAATAAATTTGCAATTTTTTGTAATTGTGCTCTTCAAAATGACATCCACTTTGATATCTTTAGAAACAAAAAAATTGAGACTTTTATTACCAGTCCACACCATGTGGTAATACTTGGTATCTACATAAGATTACACCATATAGTATCAAAGTGTACTATGGTTATATGAATATCCATAGTGTAAAATGATTGTATACATGATAGTAGAAATATATTAATTGACATTTATCACATTTCATCATTGTCTGCCACCAATTACCACCCTATATCACGGTGGTATAAGGTGATATATTTAGTCCTGAAACTTTTTTCTCAAAAATTAGTAGATCCAACAGATCACAATGAAATCGTTCATTCTGAGCAAAATTATTCAATAATTAAGTTAAAAATGAAGGTGATAACGAGGTGGTAACGAGTGGTATTAAACTTTTTATCGAAATATATTGAAAATGGATCTTATTTTGTAGATTACAAGAAACTCGTTCCATATGCACAGAAAATTTTGAAATCTAATTTTGAATGATGAAGACAAAACCTATTATGAAAACTAAGAAAAATAAAAAGTATTTATTCTCACTCCTTAAATTCGGAAATACTTCAAAACTACCACTGTTCAAAAAAAAGTTACAACAATACCACCCATTCCCAAGAATTTCCAAAAATACCACCGTTTATTAAAATCGCTCTTCGAAAGCGTGGTTTTTATGGTTTCTCTACGACAAAACGCTTCCTCAGGGAGCGGTTATATGTCGGCATGGTAAAATGCTCCACAGAGAAGCGGTTTACCATGTCGACACATAAACCGCTGCCCCCACCGGCGGTTTGTGCCACATAAACCGCTGCCCCCACCAGCGGTTTGTGCTTGGTCACCTGACACCCGACATGTCGGCATGCAAGAGGTTGCAGGGGTGGGGGCTGCATGGCAGACTAAAACCACTCCCACTGCAGTTTGTAGTGTAAAATTCGCCTATAAAAGGGTGGTCCAGAAAACTCAAAATCTTCACTCCACTCCTCATTCTTCTTCAAATTTCAGTTGTGCACCTTTAAATTATTTAGTTTTTGCGATTAACGTTAATTCGTAAGTTTGTTTTGTATTACTTTTCATCGTCCTTTGTGATTTTTATGTTAGTAACTTAATTACAGTTTTATTGCAGATGGCATTCCAAAGGTTCACGCTTGGGTTGCGGTGGAATGGTTACACGGAAGAGACCGAAAAGGGTGTAAGTTACGTGGGTGGCAATTTTTATAAAATGAAGGTCCGTACGAGACCGATGCTTGAAGAGCTCCATCAAATGTGCACTCAGATTACCTGCATGGATGGCACTAGAAGAGTTGATCGTTTGGTGTATCGATATCCAAACAGACATGGCAGGTCGCTGTGGAATGAGGACTTCCTCCTTACCCCTCAGGAGGACGTTGATGCCATGGTCCAATTTTTGACCACCAATAAAATTAAGCAAGCGGAGATGTTCGTTTACTGAAAAATATAATTCTAATTTTTTTTTATCAAATGACATACTTACTCTTAACCACAAGAATCAGATCCGTGAAATATATTGTTGAGTAGTTATTGGTAAGGATATTTAGTGGGATAAATAAAAATGAAGGAAATAAAGTAGGAGAAAATATCAAAAAATCTAAATTTAGAATATCTTTTGTTATGTGAGATCTGCTAGGGCTGGCTATTTGGTCCCGGACTGTTTGGTTTTACCCTAACCCGGACCGGGACCGAACTGGGACAGGATAGCAAACAATGCAATCTCATATTCGGGCTTAGATTTGAGGTAAAAAAACCGGATAACGACCGGATAAGAGACCCCCAACACCTAAAATCAAGATAAAATTGGGACCGGACCGGGTCAAGACCGGATTGTATCCAATCCAATCTTTGGTCCTTATATTCCCGAAAAGACCGGACTGGGACCGTCAATTTGGTCCAATTTAACCGGACCAGACCGTATAGCCACCCCTAAGATCTGCTATCTCTAGAATTTAGTGATTTAAAATCTGTGAAGATAAAATTTTCTTACAAAAGAAAAAAAAATAAACATTACTTTGTGCTGAATATATGAATACACTAAATTTATGACTTAATCGGTTAATCCTATTTTCATTACTCAAATCCATGAATTCAATTCATAAAAATCAACTAATTCATCTAATTGATTGATCCAAATTATAATTGGGTTCATATATATAATCTATGTTGATAATCGGGTGAAGAACAACTGGCCATAACTTTCAAAATTTTGTAGCCATGCATGCATCAAAATTGCAGAACATATATAAATTAGAATAATCCTGCATTGATGCTATTGTAATTAAATATAGGAGTTATGATGACAAAACTTACTAATAAAACAAATGTAATCAATGTTTATATATATACTTCCCATTAACTTTTTCATCAGAGCTTATTAATTAATTTGAAGGAGCTAGCTAGGGAAATTGACAGAAACAAGCATATGATATTGTGCTATATATGATTTTATTTACAATACCAATATGACGAAACTATTCCCCAAATTAAATTAACCTGTCACTGAAAACGATTGTTGGGACTCAGATCTAGTATAAATTGGGACAGAACATTGCATTAGCTATTCACATCAACAACAGAAATAAAGAGTAATCTGCAGGTTAACTAGTTAACTTGCAGATTACAAGATACGATTAGTTGATAATTATTAACTATGATGATGATTAGCAAACAGCAGCGGGTTTCAATGAGTGCTTTTCTGTGGGTGTTGATGTTGCTATCAACCCTAATGATCAGCGCAAATGCTAAAACTGCTACTGCTCGCACCAACTCATTAACTCCAGAACATGATGCTTCTACCCAAGGTACTTCTCATTATAATGTTGAATTAATTTCGCTAGATTTACCGATATTATTTCTACTTAATATTGTGTATGGTTTGAAATTGAAAATATCATATTATTGAATTTGAAGCTCAAATTAAGTAATTAACTGTTTCATATTTGGGAAGGTTGGCACTGCTGCGAATGGTACAAATGGCATAGGCACCACTGGTACTGCCTACACGACTGTTTCGGGCATAAATGTTGCGAACGTGACCATTGGACGACGAGCTAATGAGTAGAGCCGAATTGAGCAGAAAAATATCAAGATTAATTGTCATCATTGTTAATATTTATTCTTTATATATATACTAAATGCTCGAATTACTATATCATATCATTGAATAATGGTTACTTGTCTAATGTAAAAGAAATTATATTTACTATTGCATTTTCTCGTTTTCTCTCCTTTCCCTTCGCATTATCCTCTTTCACGAGGGGATTTCGAATTGTGTAATACTGTTGTTCGCCTAGATTTATTTGTTCCGATCTTGTTCTTCTACGCTTCTATATGTTTCCATCGGTTATAGATGACATTGAATAGCAAAAATCTGATATGATAAAGATGTTATTACAAATCATGGCATTGTCGATCAAATTTGCGTGCCACGGCCACGACCACAAGCACACTAACTCACCAGACCGTCGCCAAAATATCTCCTCGTGGTTTAAAATAGGGTGGAAAAAACTATATCTTCACACTAATAACTTAGGGCCTGTTTACTTTCATTTCTGTTTCCTGTTTTTGAGAAAACAGATGTTGAAAACAGGTGAAAACAACATTTTGTCGTTTCCGAAAACAGCAGGTAGTTGCCACTTTCTGTTTTCATAGTTGGAAACGAATAGAAAACAGAATGAAAAGTAAACAAGTTTTCTCATTTCGGTTGTCAAATTTATCACATGAAAACAGAAAACAGGAAACGAAAATGGAAGTGAACAGGGCCTTAGTTTCTGTACGTTTTCATGTGAGGAAAACTTGTGTTTGAACATGGTTAATACATCTTCACTTTCCAGATAAGGATTTTAATACAAAACTAAAACCTCTTCGTAGATAGTTCAAATGAGAATGTTTTATTTTATATTGTTTTTGGTATCAAAAGTAATCTAAATTACCGTCATATTTACAGAGTTTTAGCGAGAGCTCATAACTATGTTACTTTTAAAATTGCATAGAAAATAAAAATTTGATGTAGGCATTTCCGAAAGTATTTCAATAAATTAGGATAAATACTAATTATTAGCCAAACCTTTCTCACATTCTTTTTTATTAACCAAATCTACTGAATTATTAATAATTAGTCAAATATAAACTTTCATATATAAGTTCTGTTAGTAATATAGACTTGAGAACATAATACTGAGATGGAAGAGACATATGGAGGTCAACATTCCAACACTTTAGTATTTTAACTAAGAAAACAATTATAAAATTATTATCGATAACTTTTATAAAAAAATTATTATCAACAACAGAATGAATGGTTGCTAATATTTAGATGCATTACAAAAGATTTAACTAATTATTAATAATTCAATAATTTTGCTAATAATTATTAACATAAGTGAAAGGCCTTTGGTTATATTCTCCAACATATTCCACCTTAGAGTAACTTCACAACCAATTTAGTTTTCGTATGTGTGGGATTTAATTATGGTTGATGGCTGTATGATAACTCGATTTATCGATTTATTTCATATTTTACATGTCAATAAAAAAAATTATTTTTTCCACCTCTTCTCCTCATCATGTTCCTCATTGTCCTCGGTCGTCAAATTCGGGCATGCACAAGCACGTATAACCTTTTCCATACTCCGAGTAATCGTAGTCGGAATCCTTGCAGTAAGCTTAAATGCTCAAATTTGCCTCACATGTCTTCTCGACCATTGTCTTTGATTTCTCAAATCCCGTTTGAGAAACTCCAACACTTTCAATTCCCTAAAATAAAAAAAACTCTAACATTTTCTAGATAAGCATAATCAAGAGAATTCGAATGGAAAATTCTGGTATGGAGGAGTTGACCATGAAGTTCAAAGTCTTCAATCCCAAGGGAATTGAGCTTTGGCAATGCCCAATTTTATAGCAGATCTCCGAATTTGAATCGATGATCCACTGTGAGGAGTTCAAGAAGGAAAAATTGTCTCACACGGAGTCACCTGTGTCTTCGCCTTCATTGCATTAGTTTCTTCATTTTCGAAGTGGTATGAGAGATAGCAAAGATGAAAGCCTTCCTCGAATTCTGCCACCAGCAGAACCTACTATTTGAAGGAAATTAAGGTTCTGCTATCTTGAGCGCACATTTTCAATTAAGGATCGTCTACAGTGAGGTCTATGAGCTCTCTCTCAACTTATCGACGTTCTTTGATTTTGTACCGTCCTTCAAAGGGTCGCCTGGTTATAAATGATTCGTTTGGAAAAATAATCTCTTTACGTCTCAAATTTGTTTAACTATCATTACCTTGCCACACTACATTAAAGAGATTTCCAAAAGACCAGAGAAAAATTATTGCTAATTTTCCAAAGTGATAACAATAAATATTATGAGAAAGATATTCCTCCGTAATTGTGGGTCTTATAGCTAGATTGTTGGATTAGTAATAATCACGCACTTACTCAATTGCCACAGCAGAGCGTGGCACATAAGATCTAGTTCAGTATATATATGAAGAATTGTTTGAGTAGCTTTCTTTGAAATCAGAGAATCATTTTTATTCTCATGAATGACCGGTATATATACTTTATCCCTAATCCGACAGTCCCAATGAAATATTGGACACATAAAATCAACATTCAGTAGTCGATAATTTCATAATTAGTATAGAAAAGCTCATACATAAAATAACATGAAATAACACGGATATGTAAAATCTTCAATTAAGATAACAACATTGTGTGCGCGTAATCAACACTGGTATACATCTCTCTCGTCCATTTTTCTTGTTTCATGACATAAATAAAAATATATAATAGATAGATAGATAGATAGATAGATAGATAGATAGCGCGCCACACCCTGCTAGCTCGATCGATACAGCTTGCGATGATTTCAGTCATGGTGGTGGTGGTGGTCATCACCGTGGTGGTAGTGATGGTCATCATCATGATGATGGTGAAAACCCCACCAATGTTGAACATGAACATCGTTGGTCTTCGAGCTACCGCCGGAGATGGCTGATGGGCGACCGCCGGCGGCGGCAGACATGACATTAATGGAGACCACCGCCAGAAGCCATACGAAGGCAATCAACAGAGTTCGTGTCTTGGCCGTCATTGCTTTTTTTTGGTGATTGCCTCGATCGATCCCCTAAATTCAACCTGAAAGTAGTGAATGTAGAAAGGGTTTGAGGACTTTGATTGGGATGTGGCGAGATCAAAATGTACTTGGCCACCACCTATTTATAGTGTTGATTCCGTTGGAGTTTGGACAGCAAGAAGAATCTATTACTAAACAAAATAACGGTTACCACCGAGGTCTGATTCTTCTGATTAAATGAATTGAAAGGGATGAAAGATGGTGGAATTATAATGGTCACGGAATGGTTGTCAATTCATATATTTTTTTTTTTAAATCTTCCTGTATCATTTCGAAATATAGTGAAATGGACTTTCTCCTGTCCGGGAATTAGATAGCACACAGTCACACACCGTGTTGGTGAACAGCGTAAATCTACGTGTCTTATTTCGTTTCTTGCTTTCGTTTCCTCGCTCTATCGATTCTTCGATTTCCCGATCCGTAGAAACAGTTGTGACAAATTGACAATATATATGTTGAACAAATAAATACTTCAAAGCACTATTATATGATTATGTACTACTAATAACAACACTTCCTTTAAAACTTGTGAAAAACTGTGGTAAGATTTCAGTCTACACCATATCCTCGGTGTAAAAGTGTAAATATTGACTTGTCGACAACTAGAATAATTTTCAATCAATTAAATGGTCTCCATCACGTTATTAAAAAAAGGAATCCTATGTTGTACGTATGTGTGCCACCTATATATGAGATGAGCCCATTGCCATGGCCGAAGGTCAGATACTTAGACACTAACTAATGCCACGGCCAAGTATTTTTGGTTGCGTTTAAAATTGGTTGCAGACAAACATGTCGTTATGCTACTTCAATAAATTTCTTAGGCCACCTTCTTTTTTGTTGTATGATATCCCTCACCACGGTTTCATTTTATGGATGGCAATTGTCATAATTGGGCAGCCCATTAGTACGATATTGTCCGTTTTGGGTCGAGCCCGCACGGTTTTACTCTTGGGTGTCCTCCCCAAAAGGCCTCGTACTAATGAGATTGGTGGACACTAATATACAAAGGTTCCTTCTCTTGTATAACCGATGTGGTACTTGGATTGTCCATAACAATCCTCCCCTCAAGCCAAGGACCACGAACATCGTGTCCTCACCTCAGCGATTATCTTGATCCGCCAGACACCTTGTATCGATGGGCTTCTCGGTACAAGGATTTTCCCAGACGCGAGCGGACCTCCCTTGATCTGCCAAACCAGATGTAGCCCAACTGTGGATCTCTCGTGGATCCACCAAACCAGACGCAGATCGCAAATCCCAAGGCCACCGAATGAGGGTCCACCAAACTTATGTCCACCACCCCACACCGAACCAGGCTCTGATACCACTTGTCAAAATGGGGGCGCTCAATTAGTACGATATTGTCCGCTTTGGGCCAAGCCCGCACGGATTTACTTTTGGGTGTCCTCCCCAAAAGGCCTCGTACTAATGAGATTGGTGGACACTAATATACAAGGGTTCCTTCCCTTGTATAACCGATGTGGTACTTGGATTGTCCCATAACAATCCTCCCCTCAAGCCAAGGACCACGAACATCGTGTCCTCACCTCAGCGATTATCTTGATCCGCCAGATGCCTTGTATCGATGGGCTTCTCGATACAAGGACTTTACCAGACGCAGAACTCTCTTTGATCTGCTTCCCAAATGCGGAACTCTCTTTGATCCGCCAAGCCCAAACGTGGATCTCTCCTGGATCCACCAAACCAGATGCGAATCTCAAATCCCGAGGCCACCGAATGAGGGTCCACCGAACCAGGCTCTGATACCACTTGTCATAACTGGGCAGCCCATTAGTACGATATTGTCCGCTTTAGGCCGAGCCCGCACGGTTTTACTCTTGGGTGTCCTCCCCAAAAGGCCTCGTACTAATGAGATTGGTGGACACTAATATACAAAGGTTCCTTCCCTTGTATAACCGATGTGGTACTTGGATTGTCCATAACAGCAATTTCATGAATAAACTTAAGATGCAAGATAGTCTATTAATGACATGGGATTGGGGTGAAAATTTTGTTCATATGTTTTATTTATTCAATTCAGTTCAAATGGGTCACGTACTTACGTTGGATATGAAATCTAAAATGCAAGGAAATGGAGTAGTGTTTGATGGGCTTACGCTTGCGGCTTGCCAATTTATTTGGGCTGAGTTGTGATGCGAGCTTCCAGAGTAACCCAAATCGAAGCGGGAAGAAGGGCGTGCCACGTGTCAGCAAGAAGGTGGATGGGCCAAAATTCCCTAGGTGAAGATAAAAATCCTCTCCCTGGGATTTTAAGAGACTCCCAGTTTGGCAGTATCAGATTGTTCTATGTATCAATCGAGTTTTGCTTGTGAATTATTCTTTGTATCAATCGAGTTTTCACTTTAATTGTGGTCAAGATTCTATTTTGATATTGATAAAGCCTTCTCTTAGGTGTGAGATTTCACTTCAATTCCGCCCTATCCTTATCTTTTATTTCTTATCTTAGTTGCGTTACTTTGATAACTAGGGTTTCACTGTCGCTAATAATAATCATGGTCCATGAAACCGTACCGGAGACCGTATCGGGAAAGTCAGCGGTAGGGTATTTTATGGTAAAACCGTGGTTTCACCGTAGTTCAACCGTTATACCGGTAAATGTCGTATATCGGTTTAGCCTCCAATACTGGTATTTCCTGGTTGAACCGTCGGTACGATACGGTCTAATGGACACTGATAATAATTAGAATTGCTACTCTGATTCGTCAAAACTTTTCTAAAACAATAGCAGTATATTTTTCTCGTGATCTGCTTTGTGGGAAGGAAATTAAACAGGTGACACATAACTTTTATGACTTTATAGTTTCATAGTTATAACAGAAAATGACATGAAATAACGTGGATAGATAATAATCCTCCATTAATATATGGTAGAGTTTTGTGTACTTTTCTCCATTTCAAATTTCCTGCAACGAGAGTGAAAGTAGGAAGGTCATTTTTGTCTTTACACATTTATTATTTATTTCATATAAAAATAGCAATATCAAGATTTGAACTCGGGTCTCTTCAAACAAAGCTAACAATTATAACCAGTTACACTAAACAAATTTATTGCATCCTTTTTTATACAAAACATAGACAAAGTTAATCTCTGAAAATCGGAGGACTTTTTCATCATAATTAGCAAGCTCACTAAGTCTACCGTATGTATTTTTATCGAGCTTGATACTTCTATTTTCATAGTAGAGTTTCATGTAATTTTCTCAATTTTAAATTCCCGCTCTCTCCTTAATTTTTGCTAAAGGTAAATGGGTAATTGGCTAACATGGAAGAAACTAATTATGTAACTACGTGTTGTATCCTTGCATTTTTCAATTTAAATTTAAATTTTGTGATATTTTATCTTTGTTATTTTCTCTTTCTAACTTCCTCCGAAATTTCATCCTTCGTGCAATAGTTTGCGCCTTTCACTTCCCAGTACAAGACTGTCATTGAAAATCAATCTTCAGGTATCTCTTGGCACTATGGTTTTATTGTTGGGAATTTTAAGCTGGGCGAGTAGAAGATTTCAACTCCGATATCAATCCATGGCGAATAGAATGGAGTTCATCAATAATTGGAGTTGTAGGAGGAGGATTAGAAATTGAATTTTTGGCTGAATATATGCCTCTTGAGATAGAAATTTGGTTGTAAAACGGAGAGTGGTGGTTATTGGATCTTTAGGTTTATGGTTTTTACAACTGTCACAACCTATTTCTATCTTAAAACGAGGAATCGTTGATTGATTGTTTGAAATAGGTCGCTTCTTTATTCAACCTACTGGAACTAATAGATAAGGAGTGTCTAATTTTGCGCCTTATTACTTTGATCGAGTCTATTCGTATATTGGAGATAACCCTGATTTTTTCGTTTGCTCTCAGTTGTGATGGTCCCCTCTTAGTTGAGTTTTTAGTATATAGATGACTTGAATCAACAACTCTTCATTTCTTTTTTTTATTAGTGACATATTGTTTCTAAAAGGAGAGCATTGAGCATTGAACCCTTTATATAGGATTGTGAGGTTTAAGATTTAGTTTCAAACTATCTATGGGTCGTGTGAGAATTTGAGTGAGCTTTTATACTCTATATTTCTTAGCAGGGACTTATTTAGCATTATGAAAATGGGGTCAATGATACATTTTTATATTTTATAATCTTAAATGATTATGATATTTCTCCGAATGTTCGACCTACATATTATTTCTTTATGTATAATCTCGATCGAATGATTATCAATAAGATTAAACGGGTTAATAGACTTAAAAGTAACATAAAAATACAAATAATCAAATATGAGCATTCTGGTTAAAGGGCCGGGTTATAAGCCAGTTATTATATATAAACCAAAATCCCATTTACTGTTGCCTAACAAGTGTTTAGTTTAACTTGGAATCAATTTGGGCTCAAGTACGTGGGCTTTGGTATTCTAATGTGTTGGGCTTATAACTTGCCTCAATCTTTCATTCTTTTGTCATCGTTTCGTTGTCCGAGTCTCCATCGTTTTTTCGACATCACACCTCCCTCCGATCTATCATTTCAACTTTGAACTTTAATTTTATGATGGTAGGGAGAGAGACACACTAAAAATGGATATCTACCACCTATGAAAAAGAGACGAGGGACATTATTAAATTAAAGGAAATGATAAATTATTATTAATTATCATGAATTGAGGAATGATAATAATATTCATAATTAAGGATATCTGTCTGTTCTTTACCTTCGTCTTCTACCTCCCCGATAGCAGATCTCTCTGTTTGCTGCTGAGATTAAAGATCAAAGAGCAGCGTCGGTGGTGCTGGTGAATCAATGACGACGACGCTTTGGTAGCGATAAACCAAGAGGACCACGACAGCTTCGCCGGTTGGTTTCTCTGTTCGGCAGGATGGAAGGCTTCCTGGGTTTTAACGTTTTCAGAGTCGCGGACGATTCAGATCTACGAAAGCTACCTCCCTCTCGGCGTCATCCCTTCGTACTCTCTTTCTCTCTGGTGCGGGTTGACGGTGGCGAAGAAGAGGTGGAAAAGAAGCCCACCGGAATCTGTGGGTTTCAATTCGGAAAAGAAAGAAGGGTTAACGTCGGCAGAGAAGAAGCCTAACGACGCCTTCTAATTCTCAATTGCGGTCGGAGATCCCTAGCCTTCTTTCACACCTTGTCTGTCGCTGTCAAGGTCTTTGTCCAAAACCATAAACCATCACCGTCGAATGATATGGGAATCACGTCGCCCTCCATCCCCACTCAATCTTGCCGACTCTCTCTATCTCGGGATATCGTCGTAGATTTGGGATTATGATTTGGTGGCAGTAATGGCGATTGAAGAATTCACGCACCTAGAACCTTGAATCGGCGCAGAGGAAATCAATAAGGAAACGTCTGTGGGGAAAAACACCGGAGGTCCGTCACCAGCTCCTTCAGCCACCTTCCTTTCTCCCTCAGCGGCGCGAACTGTAGAGAGATAAGCAGAAGGCAGAGGAGGCAGATTTTTTGGGTGGGTTAATGGTTTTTTTAGGTTGGGTGGGTTGGGTTGTGTTTATATGAGGTGGCGGGTCAATTTCTGTTTTTTCTTGGGTTTAAATTGGGTGACTAGACATCTCTGTTAGCCACATCAGCAGTTAACTGACGGCACTAACGGAGTCTGACGGAGCCTGGAGGTTAACAGAGAGTGACCAAACTTGGACTGTTCAACTAATTTAAGTGACTACGAATGGAATAAACCAATTCGAGTGACCAAACGTGAAATTTTATAGCAATTCGAGTGAACAAACTTGCAATTTAGTCGTACATTTTCATTTTTATAATGTTTATACACTCATGATTAGTAAGAAATTAGTTGAGACAAGAAATGAAAATGGTTATATGTGGATATTCTTGGATACTAAAAACTCGATTGGGTTTGAGCATACCCGAATCTTATATGAGTACTGATATGAATAAAATCTAAGCTAATTAAGATACGGTAACAAATATCAACAATCTACCCAAAACCGATGAGTTTCCATCCTTACATGAGTTTATGTTACAAGCTACAACTATTGAAATACCTTTTTGAATAATTTTCAATCCTTGCAAATAAGGTAATTAGGCTAGGGAGCACTACTTTCCAACCATAAGGGCAAGCGCGATTATTTTCTAGTAATAATAATATATCATTAACACAACGTTGGGGTTAATTGCAGGGTTGGTCACTGAGATTACAAAAAACGTTCATGTTTGGTCACTAGAAATATTTAAATCCAATATTGGTCACTCTAATTAGTTAAATGGTTCAAGTTTGATCACTCTCCGTCCAACTCCGTTAACTCTTGCTTATGTGGCAATCAACTTTTATAGTTGACCGTTAAATGTGCGACGTGGCAATTAAAAAATAATAAATTAATTTAAATTAATTTTTATATTTCCACCTCATTTCTAACCGAAGCAGTGATGGTAATGTTGACTGACTGTCACTCCCCGCCATCCTCCGATTCTCCTAGCCACTTCGCATTCATACTTAGCATTCAGTTCGCCCTGGCGGCCATTAAGACTGGAATCATCGCTCTCGCTGTAAGCTAACATTACATTAGAGTACCTCAAGCAATGACATTTCTGTCATTAACTTGAAACCATGACAGAGAACATGGTATATTCTAATCTCAGGAAGGAGTAGCAGTTCGGAGGAGCTTTGCACAGTACAAGAACTAACACATCGACGGAAACAAAGAAATGATAGCCTTAGGCTTCGGGACGATGAATATTGTAAGTTCCTTAACCTCCTGCTACCTGGCCCCGAGCTCATTCTCGCGAACCGCGGTGAACTACAAAGCAGGATGCAGGACAACAGTGTCGAACATAGTCATGGCGGTAGCTGTGATGTTTACTCTGCCATCACGAGGGCCCATGACCTTGCCGTCGACCAACACACCAAGCTCCACATCTCCACCGACGACCGATCGCGGTTCAACCCGCCGCTCCCCATCGGTTACCTCGGTAATGGCCCATGGCGGAGGGAGGGGAATTGGTCTCCAAGCCGCTGATTCGGACCGTAGATCGGATCCATGGCGTGATTAAGCATATGGAGGACGAGTATTTGAGATTTGCAATCGATTATCCCAACGATTCATCGACGATTATGCATGTTCCTGGGACCTTCGAGTGCTCCGATTTCAAGTGGGGCAGGCTGATCTTCAATCGGCCGGCGAATCTGTTTGAGGGGAAGGGGGACATCTTGCCCAAGTACAGTGTCGACGGGAATATATCACTAGCACTGTGCTTGGAGACTTACGCCATGGAGAATTTCAGGAAGAAGGTCTACGAAGTGGATGGGTGAAGAAGAAGAATAAGAAGAAGAAAAGGAGAATTTGATTCTGGGTTGGGGTTAATTTGCTTGATTTGTGTGTCTTCTAATAACAGTTCTCTATTGATTCTGGGTCGGTCAGCAATCGATTAGAAATGAGGTGGAAAGTATAAAAATTAAACTAAATTAATTATTTTTAATTGCCACGTCGCATATTTAAGGGTCAACTATAAAAGTTGACTGCCATATAAGGAAGAGTTAGCGGAGTAACTTAAACCATTTAATTAATTAGAGTGACCAAGATTGGATTTAAATATTTCTAGTGACCAAACATGAACGTTTTTTGTAATCTCAGTGACCAACAATACAATTAACCGCACAACATTGTGTAACATTTTTTTTGATGAATTGTTGAATTTTATTCATCAAAATAGTGGAGGGTCTATGGGAAGTAGACTAACTCCATGAATAAAAGGTTCAGCACAATAGAAAGTAAATAAGAAAAGGATCAAGGAGGTTGGAAAGCAGTGCTAGAGATGGTTCCGAAGAACAAAGAATACAAGTGGGTAATATGTTGCACAGGGACAAGCTTGTGAGCCAAAGCTAATTCGCAAACAACACTGCAAATTTTGTTGATAGTGGAGGTGGGAGTCTCTCTTTCATCCTTGAATATTCTTGCATTCCTCTCAATCCACAACTGCCAAAAGATTACTAATGGGAGGATGCGAACAACCTTCTTGTATCGAACACCTCTTGAAAGATACGTCCATTGTTGGAGTAACTCTCTACAACGTCTTGGCTTGGGACCTTGAAGTTGCAGCTGCCAGAAGAAAAAATCCCATACTTGGTTTGCATAGAGGCAATGCATAAGAAGGTGATCTGAGGACTCTCCTGCAGCATAACACATGCAACAAAAATTGGGCAAACACCATCCACGAGTAATAAGTTGATCGAGAGTAAGGATTTTCCCTTGGAAAACCAACCAAGCGAAAGCCGATATTTTTGGTGGTGCGATCTGGTTCCAAATAATCTTCCCTGGGAAGTTCTCACCAAGTCCCATAAAAGCCTCTCGAGTAATGTATGAGTAGGTGCTCTTGACAGAGAACCGCTTATCCGGAAGTAAACATTGTAGAGAAGCTGAGTCTGCATTTAGCCACTGAATAGATATAGCATTGAGGAGATCTTGAAAAAGTTGGTACTGACTTTGCAGATTTCCCCTGAAGCTATTATTGAACTCTACATACCATGTAGTAGTGTCATTCTGAATTTGGTACGCTTCAGAAAGCAGACAGGAACGGTTGGAAGCAGCCGCATAAAGGGAAGAGAAGGACTTAGCAAGGATGATATGTGGAATCCATGGGTCCTTCCAGAAAGAGATAGGAGAGTTGTACCCGGGTTTGATCACTGCAATACGCCAGAATTCATGCTCAACCTTCAAAATTCTTCGCCAAATTGAGTTGCGCATATGGCCATAGTTTTGTTGAAGAATCCAAGAATTTGAGCTGTAATTGAATTTGCAAGAAATGAGAGATCTCCACCAAGAGTTCGGCTCAACATGGAACCTCCAAAACCATTTAAGGAGTAAGGAGGTGTTGAAGCTGTTCAAATCTTTGATAGACAATCCTCCCATAGAGCGTGGCGCCTTCGTGATCTTCCAATCAACTAAGTGAATTTTGGACTCTCCAATTCCAGCCCAAAGGAAGCGTTTTAGAATTTTCTCCAACTTGTGTATAATATATTTTGGGGTCAGCAGCAAGGACAACAGATACAGTAGCTCAATACTCCTCCAACATTATGCCATTAATAGATAGTAGACACCACATCCCGCTAGCTCCATTGATATGGCGGTTCATTCACAACTTGCGCTGATGTTCTTGATAAATATGAAGCTTAATTAAGAACATATGAAACTCAGTTGTCCAAGACCCAAAACAGAGGAAGCTTAATTAATTGGAAACGAATGAAAGCGATAGAGCGCTATGTCATGTGCAGAAATGGTAATTAATTACCACCACCGTGGCCGTTGTGATGACCGTCATAATGATGGCCGTGCCATTGCGCCTCAATAACATTATTATTCGTCGTCTGTGAGCTGCTAGTACTGGAGATGGCTGCAGTGGGGCGCGCCGTATGATAATGGAGGCCACGGCCAGAACCCAGATAAAGGCAATCAACAGAGTTTGAGTCTTCGCCATTAATTGCCTTTCCTTGATTAATAATCAGCAGTAACCTTATGGTGAGTAACCATGAGTAACCTGTCCACATCAGTATGACATCAGCATCATCTCTCTCCTTGAAAGCTTTTAATTTTCCACTCTTTAATCTTTGAAGGGCGATTTCTCACTCATTTTAAGTCGAAATTTTTTTTTTTTTTGCACAGTTAGATCAGATTAATTGTGCTCTTCAAAATGATATCCATTTTAATATATTTTTCGAACAAAAAAAATTGAGTCATTTTTTACCAGTCTATACCATATGGTATTGACTGGTATTGAAATAAAAGCATACCTATGGTTTGAAAAAAGTACCATGGTGGTAAGAACAAACCAAGACTGTAGGATGGTTGAATACATGATAGTAGAAATATAGTAATTGTCATTTACGACTTTTAACATTGTATACCACAAGATACCACCCCGTACCAGGGTGGTATTGTATGGTATTGTGTGATATTTTTTGGTCATGTAATTTGTTCACCCATAAATTTGTAGATCCAATAGATCATGATGAACTCGTCCCTTCTGTGCAAACGTTTTCAAAAATGAATTAAAATCGAAGAAGATACCATACAATACAACCCGGTACCAAGGTGGTATTGTATGGTATTGTGTGGTATTTTTTGGTCCTGTAATTTATTCACCTAGAAATTTATAAATCCAATAGATCATGATGAACTCGTCCCTTCTGTGCAAACGTTTTCAAAAACGAATCAAAAATGAAGAAGATACCATATGGTATGCAGTTGGTACCGAGAGGCCAGAATTTTTTTTTCTAAAAAAATATTGAAAATTGATCTCATTTTGTAGAGCACGATGAACTCGTTCCATCTTTGCAAAAAAAAAAATTAAAATCCGAGTTAAAACGAAAAAGATATGAGTCAATTAAGAAAGCTAGAAAAAATAAAAATGATTTTTAATTCTCCCTCCTTAAGTCTAAATTTTCTAAATAAAAGATCCAGATTTGGTTATTAATGAGTGCATAACCCATGATTATGCACCCTATCTTGAGCCATTCTGATTACCCCAAAGTTTAAATCAGTCTCTTCTGATTAAGAAGCTTTCGATCGGGTTCGTAATTAGGATGTGGTGAGATTGAATGTACCCATCCACCTCTTATTTATTGGTTCGATGGGGTTTGGATTTTGGGCCGCCAAATAGGGATCTCTATATATTGATGCGAATTGTACGGACGTAATTGAATGATAATTATTAATTAACAAGTGGTGATATGGTAATTCCCACCTAGGTGCGTTTCTTCGGATGGGGTAGGGTGTGGGCCCTGTGGGGTATTAACGATGGGGTGATTTGGACGATGCAATGTGTACATGAGATGTGATCAAAACTGCATGAACAGATGGAACTGAGACTATTTATTATTATTCCTATAAAAACGGATTAATTCCCTAAATACAGTAATAATTAAACTAATTCCCAAATACATGAATTTTATATAAAATTCTCAAACTACCAAAGTTTGACACGGTTCGAGTTCAACAAACTCGAACTAGTACCGGATCGACTGCCAACCCATCGATCCATGTGCATCGAGCGTAAGGGCCACGATTGGTTGGCACAGGACGACACGGATCGAGCTTATTAAGCTCAATTTTGGTAGATCGAGGATAGAAGACTCGATCATCGAATGACATGGATCGATGACCTGGGCAGCGCTCCACCCTAGATCGATGTACTGGAAAGCGATCTACACTACTGGAAAACTGATTTCTGGTCACGGGATCTTATTCACGGTAATTTTTCCCGTATTAAGAAGTGTACTAATATTCACGGTAAAACTTCCTGTAACTGATTGTATATTTTTATTCACGGGAATTAGCTTATCTGCCGTTTTGTCTTCATTTACCGTGATTTATCGATAGTCACGATTAATTACCGTGAACAGTGCGTCACTATATATCTTCAAAATTTATGTGAAAATGATAATTTGATAAAAGTAAATTTTAAATATAAATATATATATTAAGGCTCTTACATTATTTTAAAATTGAAATTTTAATCAAATTTTTTCTCTTATCAGATTATATTCCTCCAAAATTGGGATTCCAAAAAATTTTCAGAATTGCATTCTCGTTAAATTGTGACTCCTTAGATTTGGCAAATAAAAAATTTGCTCGAAATGATTTCATTCTCCCGCTATTTGCTCCCGCCTCTACAATCCTAAATTTTGACTGACAAAATTTTTAGCTCCCGCCTTTACAATCCTAAATTTTGACTCACGAAATTTTTGGCTCCATCGTACTAAAATTTTGGCTCTCTCACAATTTCTTTTACCCGGCAAAACTAACGAAGCCCACTCTCCGACTCAAAGCTTTACCTTTCTAGCGAAACCCTGTATCTTCAGGGTCATTTGGAAGTTGCGATAGTTTTGTTGAGATTGTCATTATGCATGTATTGTTTACAATGCATCTTTTTTTGTTTTTTTAGCAGAAACAATACATGGATTGTTTCTGTGATGTGACAGAAACTATCACTCATTTTGAGTGATTGTTATATCTCAACTTTTAGTTGTGATTGTTGAGATAGTTGAGTTGAGATTGTTTTGTCTGAGCTTTTAGCTGATGCGACATACACAATCACACATACCAAACGTTGTATTCTACAATGCATCAAATTCGACAATACATGTATAATATTATACATGCATTCTCAACAATACATCTATTTAACAATCGCAACTTCCAAACGACCCCTTCGTTCCAAAAAAATCACCGACTCGCGAGTTTCGGTCTTCCCCCATAAAAGAACCAAAAGAGGCGTCTGAGCTTTTTGTACTACTGACGACGTCTGCGATGGGATCAATTTCAAGGAAGGTGGTAAGAGCAATAAGACGAATCACATGGCTTCGAATTCCAACTCAATGAAATCTATTATCTATCTCAAGCATTGTGACAATCTTTACCAATTTCATGTGAGGAGATGTGGTAGCAGCTTGAATGCAGATGTATCAAAGAGGTTGTTCGTGAGCAATATCAACAAGCATCCACATTCCCTCTCCAGGATCGTTCGATTTGATATGACACTGAGGTAATTTGAACCATTGCTCTAGTTCTCTTCTTCCATTATGCTTTCTTATCGGTTTTTCTTTGCTCATTTGGAATTGCTTAGGGTTAATGGAATCAATTTGAGATGTATCCAGTTTCATTGGTCGACCTTTGTTTCGCTGATTGTAGTGAGTTATTTCTTCCATATGTCAAAATGTTTTGGGGTAGCTTTTTGAGGGTTCGATTAAGATAAAACCTGGACTAATATCTCTTTCTATCATCTCATTGGCCCATCTCCTGGTGTGACACACATTCACTCTAAACCCTTTCTCTAGTCAAAGCGAAGGATGTTTTCGAAAGGTAAAGGCAGGAGAAACAACAGGGGGTTTTAGGGCTTAAGTTGTTGGTTTTTGTAGTTGTTGATTTACCAGAGAGGTTGCTTGACAATTTATTCAGCTTGCTTTGCGAACTCTATCCGGCCATAACAAGGTATGATGCTTCTCTCTTTCTCTCTTTTCACTTTCATGTTGGTTCCAGTATAATCCCAACATGCGAGTGAGGTTTCTCTACCAGCTCTATAATATATTTTGATTTTCCCCCTTCCAATAGTTTCTTAATTTTCCAATCCAGCTGTCTATTGACAAGCCTAGAGACAACATTTTCAAGTTGCAAGTCCTCTTTCCTTCAATGATTTGCTTTTTTTTTATAATCCATGATGTTTCATTAGATTTCTAACCATGAGATATCCACTTTCGAGTTCCCTGTCATGGGTTGGAGAGTAGTTGCTGCAAGTTATGTGTTGTTTTGTTTATTTTGCTAAATTGTGTGATATATATCTATTATGTGGTCTTAGGTTAATGGTTACTTCCCCTTCTACCGAAGATTGAAGTTGAGAAGTTGGGAGTCACCATGGGAAATCAGTCAAGACCCACTATGCAGAGTTATGTTGTTTCCCATTGAAATGAAAGGGGAACCCTGCTCGTGGTGCTAACAACCCTTCTAATTGATAGTTGACATAGTGGTATGTCCTTGAAATTCTTTTATCTTCCTTCTCATAGTTAATGATGGTTCTGTGGTTTGCTCATAGAATCTCTCTGTGTCTCTTCATATATGCAGATTGTTAAATGTTAATGTATCATGGAAGGATGCTTAAGGAATTTGGTTTGCAGTCCTTGTGATTAGCCATACATTAGTGATGGGAGGTTGTTTCACACTTGGTTGATAACATACATTCTTTGAAGGTGCTTAACTACTTGTATTTTCTTGCCCTTACAGGTTTTTGGATCCAAGTTATGGCAGTAAGTTTGAGGGTGTTTATGGACTGATTTTTATGTATTAAGTCTGGAAAAAGCTCTGGGAGAAACACCGAAATTCACTACCTATCATATCAAAATTAATTCATATATTCCAATCAGTTTAATCCAATTCTTTACAGCCAGGATATCACGAATGTGCTAGCTATCCCTGTCGAGAATTACTACGTACTAAACAATTAAATCAAATCCTATTGTCGTAGCTCAATGACTTAATTATTTAGCTTGAAGATCGATATCTTATTTAAGACCGCATAGCACCTTATTTAATCCACTGTCGCTTCGATAAGTTACTATGTCACATGAAATAGATTCAGTTATTAGGGTTTCACTGTCGCTAATAACCTAATTAACTACAAATCAATGTATTGGTAGCCAGTCAACACAAAGCATTAAGAAATTTCATGCAATAGAGATTGGAAGAAGAGAAATATGAATTAATCCATCAAAATCAAGAAATAGCTACATCCTATGGTGTTTCCCCCAGAAATCGGGGTTTAGTTCATGATGAAACTGAGATAAAACAATATGGTTTTGATCATCATGTCACGAATCGAAACAAAAGGAAAAGAATACTGAATTTGTCGAACGATCCAGCTCCAATTCCTTCTTGCTCCGATCACTGTGCTACTTCTCCGCGCTGCTAATTCTCTATCGCCAGTTGCTCTCTTTTTCTCCCGCCTTGCGCCGCGCTGCGCCCTACTGCCTTTTATTCTCCAAAAGAGATTTCTGCTTCCCTTCCCAGAGAATAGCACCAGCCGCCAATCGCCTCCCCCTCTTTCAAGATTCCGTCCAAGCCCTCAAAGAATAATCACCACCCCCAGCTCGCGATTGCTGTCCAATTTAATTGCCCACATCAATTGGGCTTTGGCCCAATTACTTGTTGTGGAAGAAACATGCATACAATTCCTCCCGTCATCTCCTATTTCGGAAGTTCCAGTACGGCCATTTTATCTATCTTTTCACCTAAACACACACCAAAACTCAAACACAAAATGGTTATGGCTTTTCAACCATTACAGATTAATTCTCCCTAAAATATCACCAATCTGCTTAAACATACCATGAGATAGTCACATAAAGCTCACGAATCCGATATATTAAAGCCGATTATCAAAGTCGGTCAAGGTTGGTTGGAAATGTTGATTTCTTACTACTGGTAACTTTGTATTACTAATGATATTTATATGAACTAGATAGGGCTTGAAGTATTTTGGTTGTTTTTTTAGTCTCAGTATGCAACTTAAAAATTAGACCAGCACCTCCATATCAAAGCCTATCTTACTATTCATTTCAGGTGAGCAAAGGCTTCTAGTTCTTAACTTATATTGGATTCTGATGTGTGATGATGTTGTGATCTTGAGACACATATGTTTTGCTTCATGTTTTTTAATTATTTATTCAGAGGAAAAAAATAGAGTGGGTGCTAATGAATTCACACTTGATGTAAAGACAAATGGATGAATTCTTTGAATAGAAAGGAACCTAAGGTCGATTACTTTCCATACGAGGAATTATACAAGGGTGGTAAAAGGTTGTACAAGTAATGCAGAATCCTTTTCTGGCGATGCTAAGTGTTGTGTACAAATTACTTATACGTGCTAAGTTCTATATCAAAAGCTGAAAATGCAGAACTTTGGGATGTTGCATGCTAGGTATTACTATGGCCTTTTAGTGGTGCTGGTTTCTTACAGTTTCTGTATATTGGTTTACTGCTGGTTTCTGCAAGTTTTGCAGCTTTTATGGTTTATTTTACTGGTTATGTTGCCTTTTCTGGCTCCATTTTAAGGGGATGATCCTACAACATGTTTGAAGCTAGCAGAATTATTAATTGAGCTACAGGTCTTCCTCTCAAGAAGTTGAAGTCTCTGATATAATAAATTGTGCATGCATTCAGTATTCATAGATCTTTTATCGAAACTAAAAGAGTAAACTAAGTTTAGTCACATATGGTTCCAATTTAATTTTTGTGTGTGCTATGATTGGTTTGATAATTCGAGGATTGATTCTCTTTTTGTATTACCTACATCATTTGGGTCACAAGATGCATCAAAGGTTTTTTATTTTGAGCACTTCTACTATGCTATATAGTATTGGTGCTTTAATGTACAACTTAAAGTTGTACCATAACATTAAATATATAAGTTTAGGTTGTACCATAAAGCAATTTGTACCATTATGTTACGATACAACTTTACAACTTGAAGTTGTACCATCACATAAATGTACAAGTTCAAGTTGTACAATAAAAGAATTTGTACCAAAAGTATAGGTACAATCTAAAGTTGTACCATAACGTGAATGTACAATTTTAAGTTATACCATAAAAGGAAAACCCTATAGCACCAATACTATATAACATTGTAAAATTTGTCGTTTTCACTGAGCAGTGAAGGTAATGATTTCATCGCTAATGGTTTATAAACCTAACTGATCCATTAAGTACTCATTGATTTGTAGTTCCTTTCCTCTTCAGGATGACAAAGGGATAGTCTTGGGGAATCCATTGTTTTCAGCAAGGCTTTTCTCAAGATAGGCTATTCAAGATTGAGCTGTTTGTTTGGTACTCTCCACCATACAAAGTGGTTTGGCCCATGGTTAACCGGATACTTAGTGGTAAGTTCAGCATACTTCAAAATATTAATTTGTTAGGTGTATGTGATATCAAGCCTAACATTTTCTTTGGCCGCATTATTGTTCTTTTACAATATATCATTTTTAGTAACTGAGCTTTTGGATCATGTTTCTATGGTCAAAAAGATTTGAATGGAATGCTTTGAGCAGAGGAGAATTGGCTATGAAATTATGGCACCATGGAGGAAGGGAAGACTTAGCAAATTTTAGTAACAAAGCAAGAAATATTGTCTTATATTTGTAATTAGTTTTCATTTGATCGGAGTTCTATGCTACAAGAATATTTTTTAATTGTATGTCAATTATATTAATTGATGAATGGTATTTGAAGCAATTGTATTGACAATTAACTACAAAATATAATAGCAATGAAATCAGGTTACTCTTGGTACTATAATGTTGATGATGACATGAGAACACTATGACTATTGGTTTGTAATTAGTCATTGTAAATTACTATAATTAGTAGTTGGTATTTTTTTTCGTTAATTATCGAAACTTTTATTCAGCTCAGCCTGATAAAACAGGACCCTCAAAAACAAAGAGCCAAACGCTCTACAAGTCTGTTTACAAGAATAAACATAAAACTCTCACAAAAACTACCTACACTGCATATAGTAGGCTACTCAACCGAGGAATTTTCAGTATTTCCAATCTAAGATCAGGCCTGCCGATAACAAACAGATTGAAATCAACAACCCATCTTCTCTTAATCTCCTCTACCGACTTTTGCTCTCCCTTGTACATCCGAGCACACCTCTCTTTCCAAATAACACTTACGCACCAGCACCAGATCGCACTCCAAATCAGCCCCTTGCTGCCCTCCTTATTGCTTCTTCGACCCAACCAATTCATGAGGCCGTCCCAATCATTTGGCCACCTGTGCAAGCCAAAAACTGCGGCAAAGAAATCCAAAGCATAAGAACAATTGCAGAACAAATGAACACGAGTTCCTTCTTCCGCCTGACATAAAACACACAAAGAGTCAGAAAGTTTCCCCCATTGCTTAAGTTTGTCTCTCGTAGTAATCCTGTTCATTATAATTAACCAAACCACCACTCTATTCTAGGAATCACATGTTTATTCCAGATCAGCTTCTACCAATCCACCCGAGCTCTTTTTGGTCTGATTGACGCCCATACCTTCTGCACCACAAATCTCAGCATCAGGTTCCCTTCCCAGAGTACTCTACCTTCTGCATCAGTATCAAATCTGTACTGGAACTAGCTTCTCGAATTAAGCAGTTTCCTCGAAATCCATGAACCAGACTGAGAAAGAGGCACATTCCATATGGATCTCCCCTTCAGCCTGTATTGCTGCAGCCAAGCTACCCAGAAACTACCACTCTTCATCAGAATAAGCCACAACAATCTAGCCATACATGCCATGTTCCAACTTCCCAGATCCTTCAACCCCATACCACCCTCCCGTTTAGGAAGTGCAACTAAGTCCAAAGCCACTTTTGCTCTGCCTGTGCCTTCCCCATGCCATAAAAAGTCCGAACAAATCTTGTGAATGAGGTCCAAAACTTTCTTAGGCAGAATGAAAATATTCATCCAGTATTGTACTAAAGAGTACAACACTGATGAAATCAGCTGGAGTCTTCTTGCATAAGTAAGCTTGCTGGCTTGCCATGAGCGTATTCGACTAGTCATCTTGTCCACCAACACTTCACATTCCCTGGCTGACAGCCTGCCAGAAAATAAAGGGAGACCTAGATATCTCACAGGCAGTTGCCCTTCTGCAAACCCTGACAACTCAATAGCATTTTCCTTGTATAAATGTGCCTGCCCGCCAAAGAATGCCTCACATTTCTGAGGATTACAGCTTAACCCCGATAACAAGTAGAACTCATTCAATAAACTTCTCATCTGCACCAGTGCAGCTGCTGATCCCTCAGTGAAAATCAATAGGTTGTCCGCAAAGCAAAGGTGTGTCAGACCTATTGATCGACACTGAGGATGATAAGGAATTCGTTTAGAGCTGGCAGCAAAATCCAATATGCCCGAGAGAGGTTCAATAGCTATAGTGAAAAGGTAGGGGGAGAGAGGGTCCCCCTGCCTTACCCCTTTCTTAGCTTGAAAGAAACCAAACAAAGAACCATGCAAGCTAATACTAAAGAACGCAGATCCAAGACAGCCCTTTATCCATTCAATAAACACAGCTGGGAAACCCATATGTAGCATCACACAGATTAAGTACTCCCAGTTAACTGAGTCAAAAGCCTTGTGAAGATCAATTTTAATGGCACATCGAGATGAAATCTTTGTTTTTAGTCATGGGATAACTAGTCACCATAAGTAGTAAATACCATGAGTAGTGATTGACATCTAATCACAGGAATTGATTTTATCACGGTAAATACCATATTAAAAAGTGTACATCATGTCTCTAAATATGTTTTTGTTTGCTGGCTTTGTGCTTAAAAAATGTGCATTAGTCATGGGTCTAACCGTGATTAATGGATACAAATAATCATGGGAAACTGCACCGTGACTAGTTATAAGTAGTCACGGTACATATTTTTTGTGACCTTTACAATTAGACACGGAGGTATATATTACGGTAACTTTACCGTGACTAAAACTATTAAACACGGGAAATACACTTTTAAACATAGGAATTCCAGTGATTAATTGATCTATTTCCTGTAGTGCTAGGTCGTTCGATTGCCAAACCCGCGAAGCAGTGATGACGCGGATCGAGTGGGGGAAACTCGATGATAGTGGATCGAGTCTGTGGTAATTGATCTAATTGACGCGGATCGATGACGTCAGGCACGCACTATTGTCGACCGAATACCCTAAACTCGATCTGAGTCGTTCGATGTACCTTCCCTCGACCTGCTTTTGACGTGGATCGAGATCCCCAAAATCGATGCATTGGTTTGAGTGACGTAAACTCGATCCACTCTCCCCCAGGATCTATAAATACCCCATTCCATTCCACCAAAACTCACACCACTCCATTTTTCTTCCTCTCTTCCTCCCACCACTCTTGAAGAAAAAAATATGCTTTGTGGTTGCGGCTAAGCCCGATCTTCCGCATCACATTTGTTTTCTTTAGTTTGGTACATCTATCACCCAAAATTGTCGAGATGGATCTGAGTATTTATGATCCTAGATTATACATTCAAGGCGGACCGCGAGAAACCGATTTGTTGAATGAGCAACCTTTCCATCGATCTGAAAGTGTTTGGGCGGCAGATCTGACAAGCACTTCCTCATGTACTTTTCTTTTTTTAAATGTGATAGTATTCTTCTAATTTTTTTATAATAATTAATGTTTTTTTTACCGGAACAACTTGACGTAATCACCCATCGATTGCTATCTCGCTTGTCTAAATGGGATGATCGTATCGAGCCCTTCATTGAAAGAACGTGATTGCTGAGGGTGCGAAAGTTTGTGGGGATGGAGATGGACAAAAATCTTCTTACGGCAATCGTGTAAAGATGGAGAAAAGAAACGCACACATTCCACCTTCTGGAGGGAGAGATGACGATTACGTTGGAGGACGTGGCCATGCTGACAAAGCTTCGAATCAATGGTGATGCAATAATAGAAAGTTCACAGAAACCATTGAATGGTTAGGGCCAATTTATAAGCGAGCGTTTAGGTATCAACATCCCCAAGGAAGCACCAGAAGGTCGTCGTGTACCACCTCTACACAAGTCAATGCTATCGATACATTGGCTAGTGAGGACCGCTGGAGAATTACCGGAGGATGCCACAGATGCTCAGATAGAGAGGTATGCTCGCATCTACCTGATTTGTTTGGTTGGAGGATTTTTGTTTCCGAACAAGTCTAGTGGAAATATGTATTGTATGTGGCTTCGAGTTCTTTTGGAAGATTGGGACGAGATTGAGAGAAAAAGTTGGGGATATGCTTGTTTGGCCATTTCGATTCTTCACTTCAGCGATGACACTCTTCACGGTTATCCCAGGTTGTGCCTCAATCAGATGTTTGATTGTTTGTGCAACCTTCCTTGCACTCAATTGTCGGTGATCTAGAGAAATCAGTGACGACCTACAAGTGTGGTTGTTGTCTGTCTTACAAAGGAGCCAAGCCCCATTTCTTTTAACATATGCCGCCCGAACATGCAACATGCATCCGTCGCCATGGTTCTCGCAACGAACATGAATTTGTTAAGTGTCAGAAGTGATGACACGATAATGAAAGCTTCTTCGCATAGCAGTTTCTTTCAATGCATCGACCACCTGAGGCTTTCCTCCAAATGTTTGGCTAACCACAAATCCAGAATCAGGAGTCCAGATAGGTATAGGAGGGAGGTCAGGATCGTCGTTGTGAGCATAGAGAGGATATTGTGGCACCATCGTGTAGTGAGGTGAGGGGGGGCTCAAATTCCCCCTCATCAACTTCCAGATCTTCACCATTTGAATTACTCATTGATTCTAACTCTTCATCTTCCATGTCGCTTGCCTCGCTAGTGTACGGAGGACTTGGTTTATCCCCATACGGATCATTGTTGATGCCAGATGCTGGTGTAGATGCTTGTCTGGGTGCCCTTATGTAATCCCATTATTCACCTCATAATGGCCACTCCTGTCCGTCATGTTCCACCAATGGACCAGTTGCAGTTCAATCCTTGTATGTTGGCCATGGTGCATCATGTAGAACTCTGAAATCTCCTGAACCGGAAAACCCTCCTGGTCCTTCACCTCGTTCAGTATAACCGCCGCCACCATATTGGCCAACAACTTCGTCTCGACATATACCTCAGCAGTTGGAAATCCGTTCTCTGCAATAAATCTCACCATCATATCAATGTCATCATCGTCAGATAGAACTGATCCTCATATACAAGTGCATAATCCTTGTAAACCGGCATACGGTAAGTCATCTTGCATACTCTTTGCCCTCCTATGCAACATCGTTCTGCACAAATATGGCTGAGTTCTTGCCAAGTAAATATGCTCTCAATCTGGACAGTACTTGATTCACCATCTTCGTAGTCAATACTATTATGAAAATGTGTAATTCGACCATTCCACCGAATCAATAAGTCAAATTTTCAAAATTTCTACCCATTTCTGCAGTTTATAGAAGAAGCTCATTACATACAGTTCAAACAATACCAACCAAAATTCTAATATGCTCATTCAAACAATGTAAGCAGAACTTACCTCCAAAAATTTTCTTCTTTGCTCAGCTATGGTGCTCCACCTGCTGCAGTTTGTGTTTGGAAGAAAGAAGATAGAAAGTATAAGAGCTGCCAGAATGTGCTAAGTGATTGCTTTCTATCCTCGTAAACTGATGCAGTGGTTCGAGGCCAAAAAAATCGAACTACAGTAGTTCGAGTCCATTAAACTCGATCAAGGGCAACCAATAATTTTACCCCTGCACCCTATTCTGGAGCATGTCGGACCGAAAGCGTCTGGACTTAATGATTGAGCAGTGGTTCGAGTCCACTGTAATCGAACTACACTAGTTCGATTCCCTATCACTACAAGAAATTTGACCTTAAATGACAAATTAATTTTGTTGTCATAATATATTTGTTATATTAGGCAACCAACTATGACAAAAAATGGACTTGTCACATTTAATTGACTATATTCGACAAAAGTTATATTTGTCATTTAAAGTTATCATAATAGAGTTATATTGTTACAAATTTTTTGTTGTCATTATATGTTTGTCACTATATGTCTTATTTCCCGCGCAAATACGGCTACAGAATGACAAAACACCCCGTCACCTTATGGTTTGTCACATTATGTTCAAAAAATCCTCTGATATGACAATAGAATTTGTCATAATATGGCGTGCAGAATGAAATAAACTTTTTCTTTACATTTTTTTAGAATTTCTATTTTTCGTCCACATTTCCATTCGGCGGGACTATTATTCCCCTTCCCTCCAAAACGAAAAAACCCCCCAATCCTCTCTAACCCTTCAGCTCCAAGAACAGTAACCCAATTCCATCTCCACTGCTAGTTGAAAAGTCCAAACCCCTCTCTCCACATCCTCTTCAGCGATTTGTCTGGCTACGTTCTCCTCCCCGCGAATCGATTGTCCGTTAAGTCTCGTTCTTCTCCTCTCCCTGGACTCCTTTTCCTCTGCGATTTTGGTTTTGATTTGCATGGTGGATACTTGATTCCGATAAAAGCAGAGTTTGGGTTCCTCATGTTTCTTCTTCTATCTCTATCATTCATAGGCGCTCTTGCACAGGGGTAGGGATTTCCCTCTGAATCAACAGTCTCCGATTAACCAATTTGCAACTCTGCTTCAACGGCCTGCCTTCCCTGCCGCGAGTTCCCTCCGTCGATAATTCGAGTAAGTTTGGCCATCCATTTTGTGTAAGCCCAGTGTATGGATTGGCTTACATAAATAGCTGTTATGAAATTTTTGTAGCTGGTACGCGAGATGAGTTAATTTGATGCAATGGATTTGGATGAAGGTGACATTTGTGAAAAGTGGTTTTTGATGGGGATGGTGGTTGTTTCTGAAACGCCAATGTGCCATGACTTACATCGGTCTTTCTCTAGCTTGTTGATGGTTGTGAAGTCTGAATATGGTGTTGAGTGCTGCCCATTTTGTTTGAAATCTGCTTTAATTTCCTTCGTACTTAGCCACTTGAATGTGTTACGGAGATGTAGAAAAAAAAAGTAAATGTTTAGGTTTTGGAGGTAAAGAATCATTATCAGATAGCCTTTTTGATATCAGTAAGGTGCCTTCTAAATAGCCTTAGTGAAGGTAGGTACTCTGCTCTAATCAGTCTTGTATTATGCCATAGAAAGCCATCAGAATCTAAAAAATGATTGAAAAGATTAGTCCTCCTGATGATTACCTCAGCTACCCAGATGTTGAATTAGTAATTCTGATGACTTCCCTTGATCTTGTTGATTCTGAAATGCGTATGATTTGAAGCACCATGCTTTTTGGGTTTAACTAAGATGACTATCTCACTGGTGTACTGTTTATCTCCATTCTAAGTTCAAAAAAGCATAATTTGTTTACTAGATTTGAGCTACTTTGAATTGATTTTAAAGTTTAATACTACATGCAGGTTATTTGTCTCTTTGGTTGATCACAACCTGTTGTGGCAAGTTACAGACTGCAATCAAAGGTCAGTTATACCTTAACGCGTAATGGGTCGTGAGTGGATAATGCTCAAAGATCATTGGTGTGCTGATTATGAGTTGGGTGTTAATGAGTTCATGGAAGTTGCTTCTAAGCATGTTGATACAATTGGTAGGGTTAGATGTCTGTGCAAGAACTGGAATAATCTCTACTTTAAGACATTAGTCCAGGTGCGGGGAGACATATTTAAGCATGGCATGGTCGAGAAATATAAAACGTGGGTCCATCATGGTGAGTCTTATGGTGTTAGTAGTAGCGGTGAAAACCCACCGACTGAGTCTGACGATGTTCATAATGAAGAGAGTGGGTTACAGACCGACATGTCTGAAATGTTCAGTGATTTTGGTAGGGAGAATGAGTGTCTAACAACCGCTGAACCTTCCCACGGTCCTAATAATAATGGTGCATTGGCAAGGCTC